AGAGTAAACAGATCCACCAAGACAAGGTGAATCGGTGCTGGTGACCCTTAGACTACCTACAGCTACCAAAACAATGTCCATCTATTCTAGGGATTTCTAAGAATACACACATCCACCAGGACAACGTGCATCAGTTCTGGTGACGCCCTAGAGTACTCACAGCTACGAAAACAACGCCCGTCTGTTCTGGTGATGTCTAAAAGTACACACATCCACCAGGACAATATGAATCAGTTCTGGTGATGCCCTAGAGTACTCACAGCTACCAAAACAACGCCCGTCTATTCTGGTGATATCTAAGAGTACACACATCCACCAGGACAACATGAATCAGTTCTGGTGATCCTTACAGTACTTACAGCTACCGATATAACGTTCATCTGTTACGGTGACGTCTAAAAATACAAACATCTACCATTGCAACGTGCATAACTTCTGGAGACGCTTTAGGGTGCTCACAACCACCAGGACAACGTCCATCTTTTCTGGTGACGTTTACAATATCTAAGTTTGTCAGGAGTATTGTCAGTTCCTATGACGCCTGAGAATACTCACAGGCGCCAAGACAACATACTTTCAGGCACAATAACAATGTCTTTCAGATCTTGTGGCTTCAATAAATCAGATTCAGTGGTGTCCGTATAATAATTTTGTGACGTGTTTCATCCTATTTTTGTGAACTTTTAGAAGGATTCTAAACCTACAACAATCCCGTCTGGGACGACCTTCCTTTACAGACAGTAAGATAATTGATTTGTCTGCTATCGATCTTTGAGCGCCTCAAAGAGGGCATGCACGTGTCACACAGTGCACTTCCATACCCTCAGTGCCCCGTCAGGTATTGATCATTTTGTGAGAGACGCCAGAGAAAGAGAGAGAGAGCACGAGAGATTGATGACGAAGCTTGCTGAAAGCGAATGATGCTTAAAATAGCAGATCTGAAAAAGTATTTGACGCAGAATTTAGCTCTTCAAAAATTGTGTGCTATTCGAACATTTTTATACATTTAGAAACAACAAAGGGACGACTTGAAATAAAAGTTGATATATTATCTATTTTCATATCCTTGAACAAAATATTACAATTCATATAACAAATATTGCCATCAGAACTATTTTAACTCGCTTTTAAACAGGTTGTTTCTTAATGACTTTACTGGCAAATATCCATATCATAATTTAACAAAAGAAGAGCAGTCTGTTTGTTGTTAAGCGCAAAGTTACAAAATGGGCTATCTGTGATGTGCCTATCAAAGGTACTGAAACCTGGTTTTTAGCGTTATTAGCCACCACAATTGCCTTTGAGCCACTGGAAGGTTAAGAAGAAAAGAAAAACAATATTTTGAGATCCTTCATATAAATGATTTTAAACAGTTTGGCGGCGGACAATGGTGACATCTTTCATTGTTCATCTAGACTGTATACCTTGATACAATGCATGTCGAATTATCCAAGGAAACAAGACTTGCAAACTTATTACGGAGTTTATGTTTTGAAAGTTGTATATAGTAATCGTCCAGCGACATTACATGGAAAATCCCTGGTAAAGAGAGTAACAATAAATACCGCGAAGAAAGCACTTGAAAGACAGCGTCGATTTTTTTCCTTTTAATTATACTGGTCTGGTAGGTGGCGCTGAACTTGCTCCATTATTTGATTTACAACCGGACAAAGCTCTGTGGTGGCTGTTAGTACTGGTAGCTGCCCTCCCTGTGGTCAGTAGTTCAGACCTGCATACGGATATACGTAGCCGTTTAGCCCATATCATTATATGCCAACAACACTATATCTGTTATTTACACTCTTATTTACTTTCACTCAGAAGTTTTAATTAATAATTACAAACGTGGTCTTCTTTCCTTGATTGCTCCGGGATCAAGAAGGCTAGCTTTCTAGATCCTCAGCTTTTAATTGAATCTATATACTACTAAAACTCTGAGATTGTTTGCTTGTTTGTAATTAAATACAGCAAAAACGGCACACAATAGCGCCATATTTGTAATGAAATGAGAATAGAAACAGAATAAAACAAGTTCCGTTAAATATTGAAATTAGTCTGAATTCTTCATAACCTCTGAATAGTGAATGATCCAACGGGCCCAACTGTTACTATGATGTATATTAGAGACCGTGTGATAAGAACTAATGACATTATCCAACTGTTACTATGGTGTATATTAGAGACCGTGTGATAAGAAATAATGACATTATCCAA